CATTAAAAAAAGTGATAACAAAAAATGCTCTTGTAAATCACATGACACATACTCATACTTGATGTTAATGAAAGGTGACTTAGAATTTGGTATATTTAATTAGGAAAAAAATTAAAATGATTGTATAACAAATTTTTCACAAAATATTTCAAAATTTCATATAATTGCGTTAAATCCCAATTATTTCTTAATTAAGCTAGTAAATTATGCAATTTTTTTATATTTTATTAAAATTCAACTTATAAGCTTTAAAATGTCACAAATGCAATTTTGATGAATTTCAATTTTTTTGCCATTTGGTTTACTAATTTACGGAATTGCCCTCATGTCCACCTTGCTCTGTAGACGTGCACTATCTGTCCATTTCTCCTGTTCCGGATTTGTTTATACAATGTTATCTATCTGTTGCATTGAAATGTAACTTGTGTCAGTGTAGTGAGAGTGTCGTAATTGTGATGCATGTTTGTGTCTTAAGAACACACTTATGCAAACAACAACACTCCAATACCACTGTTCAAGCCATCCTTCAGTCAAACGTGTCAGACGGTGGGATTGTGACATTCACTTCCCATGGACAGGTATTATATCGGTACCTTCTTTATATTCCCTATAACAAAACAAAAAGCACATCAAATAATAAATGATCAAGTAATTTCAGTGATATGCAGTATTTGCAACGGATAATAATTAAAAATCACCACATGACAATACTTAATATAGAAATCACAAAGTTATATTCTTGTTATCATTTTGTATTATCCTACCTTCAATCCTGGAATATAACGTTTGTGCTTCCAACCATGAAAATTGTCTCGATAAAATGCTTTCAGCAACAATGTTTAACTGTATGTACGTCACTATATATAAACAGTATAAGAAGTAAATGAATCTTTGTATTGTATTCTGCCATTTATGATTTGGCAATCTTTCAAGTCATCATTATTTTGATTTCTTTTTATAATGGAAAAATGATTGGGTTCTTTTTTAAATATAAAAAATAGTAATTTTTTTTCATGAGTGTTGGGCATATAAAAATAGAAATTATTATGAACCTATTTACTGCTGTACTTTTGAAAATGTATGGAGAAAATAAAAATTTCTTTTATAGTACTGTGTATTCAAAATTTAAAATAAGTACTGCCTTGTGTGTGTGTTTTTTTATTTTATGTAATAATTTAATATGCAGTCACTATCTATCATTAATTAATGGTTAAAGAATGCATTTGATTCAATCGAATTCAATGTACTATAGTACAATTATCGAAGTCAGTGCATATTTCTAAAATAAAAGCTGATTTGTTCATTGTAAATATATGCGATGTCGCTAATAACACAATTGTTACTATGAAAACCATGTTTCCGCTAGTTTAAATTCTAAACTTTTACGCTGAAATTCTGTGAAATTCTAATATTGAAGAACCTCAGGCGACTATCTCTGAATTATTTCCTAGTTATAACCTGTGCAATTGAAAGCTCATCCACCTCTATTCGCAATAATACCCTGGTATACACATACTAACAAAACTTTAGAAAAATAATTATATAAAAAAAAAAAAATAATTAACCTATATTTTTTAAGTTAATTTTGCCTAAAAAATCCCTTTTCATAAAGTGCGATTTATTTTTTTTTTAAATTACCTAATTTTGATTTCTTTTTTAAATAATAAATATTCGTAAAGTAAATAACTTATTGAAAAGCCTAACAGCCATATATAATTTGAAACCATAGAGATATAATAAGAATACTAGAGTGCTAACAGCAATGTATTCGATGTTCGAAATACGCAGAGCTGTGTGTTGTACCATCCAAGATGGCTGCCATAGATTCAGCCAATCAAATTTCGCCTGAGCACTATCATTTTCAATGGCGCCCTCAATTTACACCGAAAGTTCAGTACAGCTTTGAAACTCGAGCGTTGCGGTGTATGGGTGTAATGTACACGATTTAAATTTTTTTTAAATATTTGAATAAGATGCTCTACATGGCCTCTTTTTGGCTACGGCAGTTTAATAATTTGTCATTATCAATACTAATTATCATTAATGAAATAATATTAAGTCAGAGGGCTTATACATGTACAGTATATTAAGCCTGAAGGTGGCGCTTTCATACGGTAGCCATCTTGGATGGTACACATACACAACTCTGCATTGCTCCCCCATCTGCACTCTAGTTGTTTAATAGCTCTATGTTTGAAACATAGAGATATAATAAGAATACTAGAGCGCTAACCGCAATGTATTCGATGTTCGAAATACGCTGTGTGTGTGTACCATCCAAGATGGCTGCCATAGATTTAGCCAATCAAATTTCGCTAAGCACCATCGTTTGCAATTGCGCCCTCAATTTACTCAGAAAGTTCAGTAGGCCTACAGCTAGTTACCCGTATGTTTGAAACTCGAGCGTTGCGGTGTTTGGGTGTAATGTACACGATTTTAATTTTCATTCCTTGGTACTTTATTTTTGAATAAGATGCTCCACTTGGCCTAGTTTTGGCTACAATAGTTTAATAATTTGTTATTACCATTACTCATTATCATTAATGAAATAATAATCAGTTAGAGGGCTTATTAATATGTAATAATATGTATACTACGCCTGAAGGTGGCGCTTTACTACGACGGCCATCACATAACTCTGCATTGCTGCGCCATTTTGTCAGCACTCTAGTTGTTTAATAGCTCTATGATTTGAAACCATGTTTTAAACACAACCGCAAGGACCGTACCAAGTTGAAGGAAGGTATGCGAAGTAACGGTTTTCAGACGTAAACAAAATTCGAATGTTTGGTTTGGGCAATAGGGGGCGCTGTTCTCTGAATATACATGGTTTCAAAGAGTAACAGAAGTGGGTCCTGGATCCGTCCCTGATTATAATGTGGGTGCTAATACCTCATCACAGACAGTGCGTCACTTACTATTCAATGGATGATTATTTTCTCATTTATCATCATAAATCCGGGATTTTAAGATATATGAAGATGGATGTTTTCCTCATCATTATCACTAACTCTCATTTGCTTGTGAAAGTATTTGTAGACGTAGCATAACGCCTATGCGCTCTCATGCGGCGGTCCGCAGGGCCCCGAATTCTAGGGGCCCGAAGGGGCCCTCCTATATGTTCCAGGATCTAGCACCCTGACCAAAAAGGACTTTGTTGATAAATAACACCATGATGTGTTTCTGAAATCGACTGTAGGGCATATATCGATTAAAGAGATTGGGGCCCGTCGGCCAGACGGGGACCCTCTCGACCCGGGACCCCCACCAAATTTGTAAAAAATAAATAAATAAAATAAAATAAAAATGCAGATAAAAAGAAAATATTCACCTAAGTCTGTGATGCCATTTCCGGCCATCTAGACATCCCATAATAATACATTTTCTTATCTCAGCCCCACACAAGTGGAACAGCATAATGTGTGTAAAAGAGTTGGAGAAGCTGCCGGCCTGCTGCCCTACTAAATTTGTCAAAATATTTTTAACTGGGGAATAGAAAAATATCAAAAAGAAAAAAAAAAAAAATTATGCCATGAAGTGCCATTTCGGGCATCTAAAGTGCCATATTCATAAATTTTCTTACCTCAGCTCCAACCATGTTGGGTCTGAGGTGGTGTAAACTCTCCAACTGAGAAAGTCCCTCCCTGGCCTCAATTTTCTTGATCCATATTATATCATTTATTCGTCGTTAAAAATTAGAATGAAAATGCACATGTAAAATCCCCACGATGGAATTGGTGACCGGTACCCAAAAAGGGCCCCCGGTTTCAGAAATACACTGGGCCTCCGGCCCCGTTGTTACGCCACTGTGAAGTTCGTGTGGAAAAATACTAAACAGGGGAAAAATTGGGGGGGGGGGGGCGGCCCGGCCTCGCCTCCCCCCTGGACCCGCCCCTGCTAAGTAATGTACAAAATTTTGAAATACTTTGGTGTTTCCGACATTTTTTTTACTCTGTTTTATACAATAATTTATATATACATACCAGACTGAGGAAGGGCTGGAGAACATAGTCATAATCAAAGCAAACACATCATTAACTATGTTCTCACTTAATAAGAATTACATTTATCGAATGCCAATGCATGGATGGATGGTTTTTTATAATGAATAGTTGTCTTCTAGTGAGAGGCCTATTAAATATTATTTTTCTTATAAACTCACAGCAGGCTTTTTCTTTTATCAACATTTAAAATATTATTGTGATTTAAAGTAAATTTTAAAACAACCCACATTACATATTTTCCAATAATGTTATTCTTATAAAGTCTTGCCTTTACATTTCGTTGAAAAACGGATATAATAATTTGACTATGCACTGTTTTCCCGAAATACAGGTCTTAAAGCACTGTAATTATATGCTGCCATCACTCGGCACAACTCATGCATCCTTAACAGACGCTAGGGGAGTTTTCCCCCCATACAGTGGATCAGGGTCACTCTGACTCGCGTTTATTAAGAATAGCAATGGACTTTCTTCTGTTATATACTCTTTGATGGTTTGTCCACGAACGCTATTTTTCGAGGATACGTAAACAAGTCGTATCGTGAACACGATGAATGTTTTGCGTTTACAGTTGTGTGCACTGTACATACAAATAGATTCCTGTATTTATATTTCCTGGCATAATTTCATACAGAGACAACAGAACGATTTTTCTGTATCTGTCAGTGTTACTTCATCTGTGATGGCCAGCATGATTAGCATGTCACATATGGTATTTGGGCCTTTCGAAGTTGGCAAGATAGTGGCTAGTGAAAGGGATTGAGGACCAGTAAAATATTAATTTACTGGTCCACTTGGCTAGTTGAAAAAACCCTTAAGGGAAACCCCTGAAAATGTATTGATTTGACCATTTGAAAGTTCTGCTACCTTAGCACCATGCACAAATCATGAAGTTGCATACACAAATAACTAAACATCTTAAGTTACCTTAACAAAAATTTAAGAACTGAATGTGAAAACCACATCCACAAACAATAATAATAAAAATACTATTGGTATTTTATTCACATTTTATTTAACAAATTTCTCTACATCATAATTTTCCCTTATAGCCAGTCATTACATGAATTAAGGGTCTTACTATATATAATTACTTTAAAACATGATGAATATTTGCATTCAATAGGGGTATCCTTAACAATTATTACAATGACATAAATTCTTCATAATTTTAGTTTAATTGACCTAAGAACTTGCAATACAATCAACCTAATCTGTACACAATAATGTTCATTGAATACATTCATTTATGATACAAATTCAACAAAAATTTTATTTTAAAAAATACAACAACTATATAATATATTGCTTCATAATTCAAGTGTTATCTATAAATATGCCTTTCAAATTGGTAAGCTTTCTGTTAGATGCACCGAATACAGCATCAAGAACTAAGTACAGTACTGTGATGATTTAGTAATCCCGTACTAGAAAAATCCATTTATGATACAAATTCAACATAAATTAATAAAAACAATACAAGAATTATATAATATATTGCTTCATGATTCAAGTTTTATCTATAAATGATAAGATTTAAATTGGTAAGCTTTCTGTTGGATGCACAAGATACAGCAGCATTAACTAAGTAATGATTTAGGAATCCCATACTGGGAAAAAAAAAACAGAAAATCAATTTAAGGCTAGAGAATAAAATAAAGCTGCTGAGTACCAAGTTGAGTAAGAGTATGGCCATTAATTCAATTCAATTAATTTATTTTCCAAAAGACATATTGTACAATAACTAGATCTGTGCCAGGGCTGTAGTTTATATTGTTAGTTACAATTTTTAAATATTATACAGGTGCAGATCTAGAAAGAAAATTAGGCAGGTCCTATGTGTGTGTGTTTACAAAAAATTAATCGTAATTCACTATTTTTACACTAGCTGTACCTCTAAATTTGCTTAATAGGGTTTTTGATTTAAATTATACAATAAAAATATGAAATAAACAACCAAAAAGACAAAGATCAGTGACTTATTTGGAAGCTAGTCATTACAAAAAATTAAGGGTCTTTATATAAAATTACTTGAAATGCTGTTAATTGTTGTTAATTAAAAATTAATTAAATCTGTACACTCAAAGTGTCCGATTAATAAAGGTTGGCTGTAATGTTAAAAATATATATTTCCCCTTGTTTCGTGGAAAAGTATTCCTTGATTTGGGGTGCCCCAATATGGAGCACTACTGCAATACAGCATAAACTGTGTCCCCAACCTTTATGCTTCCTCCTGTCACTAGTTTGAAATTAACACCAAATATGGGAGATTTCTGGAACTTGCTGTCTGGATGTGATTTATCCAACATTCTATACCTACAAATATGAAACAGAAGATATTTATCATTATTCAATTACCTGTAAGTTTACTGTTTCTATATCTAAATTGCCTCATTACTTTAAATAGTTGCAATATGGCCCCTCTTCAGTTCTAAAAACAAAATTACATTTTTGCAAAAGGCTTGTGGAATTGAGATTCGGACATGTGCTCGTAAACAGAAAGTGTTACGGCACCGCAAAGGTCTACCTGGCCGTCCCGAAGCAAAACAACGTAACTTACATTTTTGTCAATTTTGAGATAATATCACTGGGGAGTATATTAAACACGTCTGAAATACCTGTGAAAATTTCAGGTCTCAATAACGAGTCATTTCAGAGATATAACCACCTATCTTTAAGCACAAAACTTAAAATCTAGTGGTTTTCCGTGGCAACAACGTAGCTACAAGATTACGGGGCAAAACGTATCTGCAATGAAGATACGTTTTTTGCCTCAGAATGGTATTCAAAAATTGTCTTGAGCTGATGGAGTTTGACAAGGCAAAATCAAATGGATATTGGTGTTTTTATATCAATAAACTTAGCGACGTATGAACAAGCTAGGTAATGCATTTGATTGCCCCAACCATGATAAATTCCAAAAATGTCTTACTTGCAACAATACCTAGCTTGACATGTTTCAGAGGCAAATCAACGTATCTGTAATTATCACTAATAACTTTGCAATAAATGAACGGTTGTAATTAAAAATTTTCATATAATCACAATGTCTACAGATATACAATTCTGCAAAATTTCAAAAGGGTACGACAATTTATTGTAAAGTTCTGAACATGCAAACTTTAACTCTATTTTTCTCCAAAAGTGAAAATTTCAAGTTACGTTGTTTTTCCCTATTCAAAAATGAAATATTGAGTAGAGCTAGTTTTCAATTTAATTGGGGGTTAAGATGCTAACCATTGAATTGTAGATTCATGACTTCAAATCTTTATTTTTTAATTTTTAATATTTTATTTAACTTTCACTGGAACAAAAAACAGAATGCCAAGAATAGAAGAGATGAACAAGCACCTCTACAAAGCTGTCAAAACACCGAAGAAAGATATACAGTAATTCAAAAATAAATAAAATTTATATTCAAAATAAAATTGTCCAATCAGATTTTTTCACCACACCTAAAACAAATCTACTTGGAAAGTCATACAAGAGTTAGTTTACAGTTTAAACAACATCACTTAATTCCACCCTGTAATGGTGAGTGTACTTGGTGTACGATTTGAAAGATATACAAGGAATTCTTACTGACGAAGAGTCTTCAATGGCTCTGCCTTTCTTAGCGTTCCCAGCTTTCTGTCAATCATTGTAATTGGACACCTGTGTTTAAAATTACATAAAATCATGAACTATATATATAACAACATTGCTGTTAGGAACACTGACTTGATCTTGGTAGAGATACAAATTTGTTAAGCTAAAAAGTAAACAGCCAGAAATAAAATCAGAGCTTTCAAGATCCCTATAATGGAAGGTTCCTCATTTTGGACATCCATTCTCAAAAGCAGCCCAAATGGCCAAAAAATTTACTTATACTGTATTCTCCACATTATTAACTTTAAAATGATGGTTCATTTACTGGAATCAACTTTACTATTGCCTAAGTTATGAGTACAAATACTACAGTATATAACAGTGCCACAATCGTATGTTAATACAGTAGTACAGTTTAGCATACTGTATATCGCCAGTACACTGGTTTGGGATGTCATTCTTCGTTGACCTTATAACACTGGGCAAGAATGGTGAAAGGATATGCAAAGAAGGGTGTGGAGGCTGAGAAGATGGGAGAAGAGGCGTGTATACTGATGTGTGTGAAGAAATGCAGATGCTGAAAGAGTTGTGATGAGGATCGGGGTGGAAACAATTTGGGGGTTGGAAAGGATGGCAATGTATGTGAGAAGGCTGACAAACAGATAGCCAAGTTTAAAATACAATTTGTAGTCCAGTTTTCAGTCAGTTACTGTGTATACCATACTTGCAACTTAAGACACTGGAAAGAGATGTTCTATCTGCTATAAATACAAGTTTGTGCATAAAAATAAATTAAGAGTTACCTTCCGCAGTCATGTGTCCTACTGAGGCAAGCATCTCCAATCTTTAGCATAGCCCACTTGTCCTAGTCAAAACAATAAATGAATCTTTAAAAAAAAAATAAACATCTTATACTTTGGCTGTAACACACACTGTAACAGTATGTTTAATTCTGTAAAATCTTGTCATAATTTAGTGCAAGGAACTAAAGCATAAAGTGGAACATGCAACTCTAAACAGTCAGATAAATATTAATAATAGTTTATATATTGCTTACACCAGTCTCAAAGCGCTTGAAGAGTGGACCAGCTCGTAACGTTCTTCTCCCCCAAGGGTCTCTTTTTTTTTCTGAGCTACCTGGTAAACTGGTGCCAGCTACACTTGTCTGTCCACAACAGGGGCTGTATGAACCAGTACACCGGGGTTAACCCTCTATTCATCTCTAAAGAGGTTCTTTAAATTGCACACGAGCCAGTGCACTGGGCCTACAGTTCATAGTTCTTTTCCGAGGCGGCTTGTTCCATCTCCAGAACCATAGGCATGTGTGCCGTTCGAACCAGTGCCAATATTATGGCTGTAGGTTGTGGCACCCCTGCCTTAACCGCTCTATCATTCAAACTCACCTAATGTGCTTTTGAATAGTAACGTAAATTCTGCCTCACAAGGCAGCGATCACATTCAATCTACCATAATTCTCAATGACATATCAATCTACATTAAAATAAATATTTCAGTATCATCTTAACTACTTACCTCAGCAAAAGCATTGCTTTCTGAAATAATAATATTAGCACGAAATTGCTGCATGCCAATAGGTGTCTCCAACCTGCTATTAAGGTCATCAAGGGATGCAGTGTTTGCGACATGGAATTGCGTCATGTAATGGTACAATGCCTGAAAATAAAATGTTATTTCATTTCATATCACTGGGTAAATTAATTTCGATTTTGAAGACTAACCAATATACTGTACTAATATTTATACTGAGATCCTCTGATCCCAGCGGTGGTGCTACAGGGGGACAAGGGGAGAATTTTCCCCAAATTATTTTCTTGCCACCCCTCCCCAGTTTCCCCCACCCCAGCTTTGCCGGGAAAATGAACATTGTAAGATTGACTTTCTACATTTGTAATAAATATACTGATCATTTGAATAATATATAACAAGCAGGTGGATAGAAGCATTACCTCGTAAATGTATGTTGTGATAAATTATAATTGAATCCCTGGTGGTGGAGGGGGGGGGGTAATACTAGGTAATACTAAAGAGTAATTCAGAGACAATAACAAATACTATGAAATAACACGTTACAAAATTTACAATGAACCAGATTTATTCACCGTGGCTAGAGATACGGTAGGCCTACCCTATCGGAACTTCCGGATGCTAAAGTTACGGTAAATGATATCACATTATGATTTGATAAATTTGCTAAATGTTCTAGAAAATAGTATTTGGGAAGTAAACAAATGTTGATGTTGTAGTAATAATTTTTTTGCTTTTTGTTTCCTTACAGCACATTTCAAAAAGACTGTCCATTGAAAGCCAGGTTATTAACTGATGGAAATTGGCTTGGGGTGATATCTATCAAGACAGAACATACTCATGACGTAGCCAATGTACAGTACCAGTATATGTATTTAAATTGGTTTTTTAGAGAGAGGTAGGGTCAGAAAATGTTTGTGCCGGACACTTCATGATATGACACTGTGGGTCCAAAATGTTTCAAATCAGATTTAAAATGGCCACACCCAACAACACAAGAAATCTTTTGACCTTTTGACACAAGACTAAGACAAGAAATAAACTAAAATAGAGTTATATTTTTATCACTTTTTCATTTCTAGCAGTTCTACTATAGAATTATGTTAAATTTTGATATTCCTTTAAATTACATTTTTGTTGCAACGATAGATGAACTAGATTATTTAAAGTGCACACAAGCAGTTGTGAACACTTGCCTACACTTTACAGCCCTTATCGGAGAGGACTTGCTGCACCATCAAGACCAGGAGTGAATATGCCTTGAAGCGATGTTGGTGTTTTACTATGGTTTACAGCGCCCCTGCCTTAACTGCTCGGCCATTCGACTCACTCTGAATTGGAACTACATCAAAATAATGTATTGCACTGTTTATTTAAAGGACTTGTATAGTCACTTTCCACAAACACGAAAATTAGATGGTGAAAGCAAGAAAGAGGTGGAGCACCTAATAGAACTGAAGGTGAATAAGAAGTTACTGAGGGAACATATTACCAACAAAACCAGGAAAGTTGTTACTCTGAAAGGTCTGAGTAACATCCAAATAGCTGCAAAGTGTGGAAATACCCGCAATGATTAAATGTAGTAGTCAACTTCCTTACAAGTCAAACAGGTAGGCCATTAGTTTAGGTACCTTTAGTTTGCCTTTTAACAAGCAGTCTTGTTTAATGTACTTTGTATGTATTGTTTAAAAAAGGAATATAACAATTATTTTAATCAAATTTAAGTTTTAATTTTGTTTTCAAGTAACAAAAGTTATCAACATATAAATTATTGTGTTAAGTTTCCCATAGTTTATTTTCCAGACAATCCATATTTTACATAATATTTCTAATAACTATCTGTAAAAATTCTCATTAATACCAATTATTTTGAATACATAGTTTAACCAAAATAAATTTAAAACGTCTGTTTTCTTTTGTTAATTAACTGAGAAAGAAACTTTTCTATATTTCCATGCAGCTTTGTTCATTGTATTTACAGAAGGGGGTGATACTCAGTTTAGGTATTCTAAACTTTAAATCAAAATTTAACAACATATTTTGTTTCATTTCTCACAGGTTCATCTGTTGAAGTAGTACAAGATGAGGAACAAAACTTGAAAGGTATATACTGTACTTCCAAGACTTAAATATGAAAGAGACATTTAGTTGTTACCCGGAAATACTCTTTGTGGATGCGACATATAAATTGAATGATCTTAGACTACCTATGTCTTGATGGCAGAGGATGGAAATGGACTTAAAGTGAAATCACAAGAATTTGGTTGGTCACTGATGAAAGTGAGGACACAATACAGCATATTACGGATATATTTAAGAAAAACAATGCTTGTACTGCAAATGTTAAAGTGATAATAGCTGACAAGGATTTCAAAGAGAGGGAAGTATTTGCAAGAACTTTTCTACAGGCATCGTTGCACATTTGTTTGTTTCACACGCTATGGACATTCAAGAGAGAAATAACCACAGAAAACTAGGTATCACCAACGGTCAGCAATTGCATGCTCTGGAATTGATCCAACAGATAGTTTATGCGAAGTCAGAAGAAGAGTACAACACTCTATATGTAAGTTTCAGTACAAGTGTTCATCCATCTGTTATTGCTTTACTATAATGCAAAACATCAATGGGTGATGGGATTAAAAAAAAAACAGATGCAATTACTTAAATTAAAGCAACACAAACAACAGACTCGAGTCAATCAATCAAAAGATCAAGTCAGTCTTGACTAAATATAGCCCTTTGGAAGTATTCGTAACTCAGTTCTCTTCTGCAGACTTTAAGTAATGAACATGACCACTGTGTTGTCAATGTTGTCCAGTGCTTCCGTGTAATGACAGTTCAACAGAATTTCAATTTAGGAAACTGTTGACTCCATATGCTTCTAGCTTCGTCATAACACAATTGAAAATGGTAGCCCAGGTGAAGTTGCAGGTGGCATAGACTTTAGTGTTGTGACATCTTCAGGCACTTTTCAAGTTTCACCAACAACATGCCCATTTTATAAAGGTATGAATCTACCATGTAGACATATTTTTGCTGTCCGAACACAGAATGTCGAACCACCAACAGCAAATGAGGTTGCTGTATTGTTGGATGCTGGTACTTTTGATAGTGATAATGCTGATAATGAGGGTAAGCAATTAAATATTTATTCTTTTTCAAATATTTTTTATTAAATATTATTTGCAAGTGCACTTTAAGTAAGTACACAATACAGGTTTAAAGCTGAAATATCCTTTAAGAGATCAAAATAAAAATGATTCAAAATTTGTCCGTAATGCTTACATTTTTGCTTTTCTATATTTTGTAACAACAATAATAATCTGCACAATTTGTTTTCTTATGGTAGAGTGTATAAAACATATAAGGAGACAGCTTATAGAAGCATAAAATACTTATTAGTATTAAAATTTTAATGATTCTGAAACGCGAGATTACACTATACAGTATTTCAATTTTCTATCTTTCCCATTTACAGGACAAAGAGACTCAGCTCCTAGTACTATGCAGCTTTACAGGAAAGTTTTGGTAAGACATTTTTATTAATTTCAAAACTGAATCAAGCAAGTTCTATTTACATTTTGTCCCTAAGAAAAAGTCATGAAATAGCAGAATACAACTTTATGCACTAAATTATATAAAATTACGTCTGAATACATACCATTGGTCTGTCTACACAAAATAATATTATTAAAAGTTGCAAGTCTTTTTGGCATCTTTCATTAATCTAATATATAGTGTCCTTGGTTGTTTACTATTGGAATAATAAACTGCCAAGGATATTAACAAAATTTTTTTTTTACAATACCGTTTTCTATTTTTTTAATAGCAATGTCACAAATCTAGGTTTCGCCAAGGATGCCTAAACGTGGAAGACCCAAGGGCACAGATTTGACTACAATCGGTTTACCATTAAAAAAAAGGGCGATGTTTCTGATAAGCCGTTAGCTTACAGCAGAAAGCCAAAATCTTGTATTCAATGACGTTAAATTGGTTTGTCGATGACAATATTGCGGACAAAGCAATATCTACTGACTATCGTGTCAAGGAATGTGAAGTAGAAGTTGAAATGACAAAGGTTCCTACTATCATTACTGATGAGAATGTCAATTTGCAAATAATTCAAAAATATTTCTCAACTGATGCTTGGAAATGTGTAGAAATATTAATTAAAATGCATAATAAGATACATGATTACTGGTTGTGTTCAGTATGCCAAAATGATTTGCATACACAAGGTTCATTAGGGTGTATGCCTTAAGTGGTGTCACTTAAAATATATGAAGTTATCTTTATTTCAGAAAATCAAAATCAAAATATCATGGCACCACAAAGCTGAAAACTGTGATAAAATGTACAAAGAGCAAGTCAAAGTATGAAAAATAGTCTTAAAATTACAGGAGAAAAACAGATTTACACCACAGTATCCAAAAAATCACACACAATCCATATACAGTACATACTTACAAGTGCAGTATGGTCGAGTTTGGTCCAGTTTACAAGGCATATTCAGTTTTGTTTATAAGTGTATAGTAGATACATACTTTTGGTATGTATGGTCAAGTTTAAAAGGCATATTCAATTTTGTTTATAAATGTATAGTACATACATACTTTTGGTATAAAGTATGGTCCAGTTTACAAGTGTAACTCTTTTAATGATTTTATGTTTTACAATGCATGCAGTTTTTTTTGAAAATGTATATACAGTAGTACATACATTTAGTATAGCATATGGTGCAAATAATTCATGTTTTACACTGCATGCAGGTTGTTTTTTTGCCTAAATGTATATAATACATTTAGTATAGAGTATGGTGCAGTTTACAAGAGCAACTCTTTTAATAGCATGAAGTATTTTTGTAGTATAGAGTTTTTTTAATGATTAATGTTTTACAGTGCATATATAGTACACACTTTTAGTATAGAGTATAGTGCAACTCTTTTAATGATTCATATTTAACAATCCATATATATTGTAGTACATACTTTTGGTATAGAACATATTCCAGTTTACAAGTGCTCCTAATGATTCATAATGTGCAATGAATATTCATATTTGTTTATAAATGTATATAGTACATACATACTTTTGGTATAAAGTATGGTCGAGTTTACAAGTGCAACTCTTTAATAATGATTCAAGTTTTGTTTATAAATGTATAGTACATACTTTTGGTATAAAATATGGTGCAGTTTACAAGTGCAACTCTTTTAATGACTCAAGATTTTTGGTAAATATATAGTACAGTACAAAACATGTTATATCGTCATTGCGGACTTATAAAATCCGCATACGCCTTAAAACTAAAAGAAAATGCATACATTTAGAGTCCGTACTGAGCCCAAAAAATCCGCAATGAAAATATATCGTGTTACAAGCTTTTAGTATAGAGTATGGTCCAGTTTTCAAAAATAAGTGCAACTATTTTCATGATTTCATGTTTTACCCATGCATACTCAGTTTTTTTTTGTAAATGTATATAGTACATACATTCGGTATAGAGTATGGTCCAGCTTACAATCGCAACTCTTTTAATGATTCATATTTTACAATGCATACCATATTTTTTGCTAACTTTGGGTTGGCTTCTTTTCGAGGCTACTTTTGCAGAGTAAAAAGGGGGGCTTCTTTTAAAAATGAATGCTGTACATTTTGTGAATTTGTACTACAAAACAATAAATAAGGCCACTGTACATCAATCAGTACCAATGAGTGTATTTATCTGGCAATAAATCACCTAAACTACTCTATAAACTAAGCTTGTTTTTAATTTATTTTGTTTTTTGGAATTCATGTACAGTGTATGTACTGTACTCTCTAAAAAAGGAGCCTATGCTATCTTGAAAAGAAGCCCATGGGCTTCCTTTCAAAGCTAATTTTGCAAACTAAGGAAGGGGGCTTTAATTTGAGATGGGCTTCACCACGAGATTATGCCCACTGGGCTTCAATTCGAGTTGTTATGGTATAGCACATACAGTAATTTCAGCATAGAATATAGTCTGGTTTACAATTGCAACTCTTTTAATGATTCATATTTCACAATGCCTATTCAGTTTTGTGTAGGATATACTGTAGTACATACTTTTAGTATGGTCCAGTTAAGTGCAACTTGTTTTGAAGTGCAACTTGTTTTGAAGTGCAACTATGTTATTGTTTTATACCATTTATACTTAATATGCATGAAGTGTAAGGGGCCAGTGTTTACATTTTTAAATGTAATTTCCATTCCGAAAGATTTTACTGAATGAAGTGTTGCAATAGCAATACTGTGCTTAATTTATTTACTCAAATACATTATATGGATCAGTTCATATGGAAAACTTTTCTTGACTGTAATTATTTGTTCGTTATTTTTTTCAACCATATAGTAAAATGTTTGCAGACTCCATTTAAGCTACAAAAGACAAGTGACTTGGAATTGACATCAACACATTCAGGTATTGACTTGTCGTCTTACTCAAGTCCTCAGCAAAACTGGAAAAATTCATCTCTAAATTACTATACAGTAGGGCCTCAACATACACCTACATTCCATAAGCCTGTTGTTCTCATTGGTCAACTAAATTACAGTATTACGAGTGTCTTGGAATTTGTCTGCATCAAAAATTTCACCACAACTCTCCAGTTCAAAATGTCTAGGCTAGGGCCTAAATAAGTATCTAGCTATTAGGCCGGCTTGGCAATAAGCTTCGACTACTACTAGGCCCTCTCAGCTTCGCCAGGTTTCAGCTAAAGCAGGGGCAGCTAAGGCCTGGCCTGGCTTCTACTATTAAAATAGTTTATTCTCGCTTTCAGCCACCAAATCTAGCAAAACTGCTATCTTTTTTAAGATATGCTAGGGCCTAGGCCTAGAGAATATTAATCACAGCTTGTCAACAACACACACACACACACACGAATGAACGAGATTTCTTCTCTTTGATGGTTGCTAAAACACTCTCTCTACTTACAGTGCACAGAATGCCGTCTATTGGATGATTATGACGTAGTGTCATTTACCATACCTTTAGCACTTCTGATACGGTACCGTATCTCTAGCCACAGCGTTTATAATTCACAATAGAACCAGAAAAAGACATAAAACTTTCTGCCTTAGGCACTTGCATCCAAACCAATGAGGGCATGTCGACCAAATCAATATACCGAAAACCTACTAACCGACCAATACTTGAACGTTATATCCAACCATTTTTAACACAAACAAGAGAGTGATATTGTCCTTCCACACAAAACAGAACACACATGTGTAGAGGACGATAACTTAAAAAGAGATCAGGGGAGGAATTACAAAGTGTTGGAGGGAAAGGGTTTGGAGGGGGGGGTTTGGAGGGGGATGTTATGTTGTGCTTGCCCCCTAGTCCCTTCTTCATGTTGTGTTTACCACAAACTGTAAATCTGACATGGACCCCTCCAAATTGTTTACCGCAACATCCAGCCCTGCTTTTTTCTTTTTGCCAATGACCTCGTCCTGCACACCGGCTACAAAATTCTGGTCCTCATCCATAATGGGATCCCTTTGAAAGCATAGTCATTCAATCACTTTTAAATTGTTCTACCACCTAATGTCATCATCATCATAATCCCAATCGTTACCATCACTTTTCTATACTTAAGACAATCTCTGAAAATTGAAAACATCTAAAGTATATCAAAAAAGTTTTAGTATACTATTTGAAGTTGTCAATGAAAATGGTGAATGGTGTTAATTCTTCTTAAAAAAGTAAACAAGTCTGCTCCCGACCTGATCTTTGGAAGTAAACCTTTCCTTCCAGACTGGATTATCAACAAATTTGCGTCCTTGTAGGTTATCTTCGTGCACCAGCATTCTGTAAGCCTTGTCTGTTATTATGTTTGAAAGCCACTGCCGCACCTTCTCGCCACAATCATAGCCATAAACAATGCTTTCATGTAACCTTTTTGAAATATAAAACAAGACTATCAAAAAAACATTAGCATTTTGAAGGAGGCACGGGACTTCACATACACACACACACACATGAAATTTATTCATTCTAGAATTAATGTTAGGGGAATGCATTTTCCAGAAGGGTGTCTTGTTGTTGAACGCACTTCCTAGTGAAACTGTCATTTGGTTCAATCAATGCTTTTAAAACAAGGCTCAATGAAGCATGATCCAACCATCCACTGAAGTTTGTACCATATGGCAATAGTGACTTTATTTACAAGAGAGACTTTTAAGCATGCAGTGCTTTGCCTCAGTGTTATAGGTACCTATAGGAAACAAGTAAACAAGTAAAAAGTGACTCATAAATCTTCTTCCACGGCTGCTATATACTTTCTGTACATTGGGGCAAATCATTAAGTGCTCTAGAAATTTTCCATTTACTTCAGAAATATTGAGATGTAGATATACTGAAATGCATTTTACCTAGTTAAAAAATCGGACTAATATTAATTTTAAGTTCTCAATTAAATCACCCCAGTCCCGTAGAAATTTTAATGACCTTATATTTCTTTTTAAATGTTTGACTTCTATATTGATTGTGAATTAGTTTCTAATTTTGCCCTTCGTGTTCCTGTCCGTATTTTAAGAAATAATGATGTTCTTTACGTTCCTTTATGTAGAGTCAATATTTTTAAAAACGGGTTTATTAGTAGATTAAGTTCCTCGTATAACAAGTTAGTTTAGGACTATCCGTCTTTAGATTTATTTAACTCCAATCTGCACTTTTTCCGTCGTAGCGTTTTAGGCGTGATTAGTTAAAATTAATTTTGTTTGTGTTTCTGTTTTCGTCGTCTCGTCCTTTGTTAACCATACTGTAAGTGGCAGATTTGTGTCCGCTGTTGTTTTGGTGAATAAATAAATAAATAAATAAAAATAAATAAACTCTGCAGCTATTCTACCTTATGTCTAAAATACAAAACAATGATAGAAGCTACACTGTTGGTAAAAACAATTTTTCTCATTGCATAAACTATAGTACAAGCTTGTCAGGAAAAAAAGAATTTCATGTACACAAATACTGGCGGATAATTATTGGGAAATATTGGAAGAATGATTGGGCACATGGTGGTCACAAAACATAAACGGAGTGATAATTGGTCATACACTGATTTATTCATACCAATACTATACAATACTTTGTGGAGGCTGAATATTACAGCAGTGTAAGCCAATCCGCAGCCACCAACTTGGACCCACCCACTCTCCATCAATTTTTTGAATAAAAAGAAAATTCTTAAAAATATAATAAAAGTCTTATAGAATGCCATTCCTGGCCATTTGGAGGTCCAATAGCCATAGAAAGATAAGGATTGAAATGAAAATAAAAGAAAGGAAACAAAGGATTGGCAATGTAAAAGAAATTAAGAAAAGAAAGGAACTAAATAGAATAGAAAGAAACCACATAGAAAGGAAATGGGTGAAAAGGAATAGAGCATAAAGGGAAAAAGGAAAAAGTATAGAAATGAAATTATATGAAAGAAACAGGGGAAGAATAGAAAGAATAAAGAGAGAAAAGGAAGAAAAGGTACTTAGGTTTAAATAGAAATTGAAAAAGAAAGTATTAAAGCAATAAAAAAAAGAAAAGACTGAAAACTGTTTTTGTTAATTAATTTACAATTTGAAATTAACCAAACTAACATAATTATATACAGTAATACTTTTTGACTAGGTAATTTGTAAAATTAAACCACACTGTTTTGCTCTTCCAACAAACCAATATTATATATACATACTTTTTCTTTTTGTCCATCTTCCTCGAAGTAGCATGTTAGACAGATCAAGTCCTTGAGATCACTTGAGATACAGTAGATGGCTCATTAATATAAAGTATTTTATTAATATTTTTATTATTTATTCTTTCTATACCCATAAAATGTTGTACATCAGAACCAATGGCGGGGCTGAAATGCTCTAAGCCCTCAATCTGCAAAAGTCCCTCCTTGAAGCCCTCTATTTCAAATTCCTGAATTTATAACTGGTACTTTTAAACTCACTTAGCTTTGACCAATTGTGCGGTTGTGTCAGGTACAAGTGGTAACTGCACGGTTGGCTGACCATCTGCTCTTAGGACAAGATTTTGACCGTCCGCTGACAAACTGGTTTTTATTAATGCTACTGATGGCTCCTTCTTAGCAGCCAGGTTTCTGTCTTCATCATCTACCAACATCCACTTTCTTTAGAATTCAATTTAAAAGAGAGCAATAAGTGTACAAATTAATGATCATTGTTGCGTCTGAAGATGTTAAACAAAATCTGGCAAACACTAAACCAACATATTTTACTGTATGGGGTACAGTATGAAATCAAGGTAAACTTTTAGGCTAGAAGTACCATCTTTTTCAAGTTAGATAAAATGAGATAATATACACTTTATTGCTCCAAGTCGGAAATTCAGTTCTCACATTAAAATACAATTTACTGTAAAACAATTAAAAATGATCAAATATAATAAAATATAAAAATTACAATGTAAAAGAGATATCAAACAATGACCATTAAAACATTACAGCATTATTATTATTATTATTATTATTATTATTAGGGTTGACTTATTGGATGAGCAAGTCAGGCCTGGGGAGACAACACATAAAAATAACACTGTATACAGATAGGATCAAGTGAGCCTCATACTGCAACTTGGTGCTTTTAGACCAATTATTTCTTTAAGCCCCAACAGCTTATCACCCTCAAGTTTTTTTTTTTAACCATCCCTGAAGAAATTTAGAAATGTGTAAGGACCAGTCTCTCAGAAGTTGCGGAAGTCTCCTGTAATCAGGATGGCTTCCTCACAAGATACAAAATACAAGATTCTTTTATTCTCACTTTGTAAACAAAATACAAGGAAAATTTGTCTATCCGATGCAAAATTAGTAAAGAATTTAAACAATAAAATAATCGAATATTATTAATATTAATATATTAATATTTTTTTAATGCAAATTACAGTATACCAACTACAGGGATGGATCCAGGATTTAAAATAGTGGGGTTCAAAATGTTTCCAAAAAAGCCCCAAAATGAAAGGGGGGGTCGGGGGTCCTTCCCCAGAAATATTTTGATTTATAGATGGCCAGAAATGAGCTTTCCCGACTTCTGAGGAGTCTTTTAATGACCTTTAAGTTCTTCAAAATTCCCCTCATGAAAAAAGGTCAGGTAAAATATTATTATATTCCAACAACATTGAGTAGTAGATATGTAGTCTTATGGAGCTTTCCGCAAAATCCAAGATGGCGTCCAAAATGGCCGCCATTATATTCCAACAACATTGAGTAGTTAGACATGTAGTCTTTCTTCTATAAATCGATGAACCGATAGGCCTGAAGAACGCACTTTCGTACATAAATTATTACGATGGTAACCCAAAAACAGTGTGTATACTTTATTGAATTAAAGACTAGTTTGACTATTAAAGCCTAGTTTGTCTGATCTTCCAACCAATGTTAGGTAGATTAGCATGCAGACCTGTCAACGCGTACGCATTCGCCTTTGCCAGATTTCTTCGTAGAATCTGAGGTTACGCACAAATTGATGATTCCTGCTATAGTTCAGTATATCTGTATATCATAGCGGAAAGCTAACGTCCATCTGTTTTAAATACTAATATTTCAGATTACTACTTGACCATGAAACGGAATCATGAGATCAATTATGAATCCCATGATCTGTTTATTTATCTACCTTGTTTGGGTTGTCAAGCTACGCAAAAATATTTTAATCATCTCTGGTCAACCCACGCTTACTGGTTGGCCTGGATACCAGGAGGCAAGGGGTGGAACAGTGTCCATCCTCATATCAGTCCCAAACGTGAAATTGGGGGTGGTCTCATGTTCCCTTGGAATCCTGGTGGTTGAATATTGTATTTTGTGTATTTTGTACATTTTGTAAATCTTCTTGCAATTCAGTTATATTTTACTGCTATGAGTTTTGATAATAAAAATAGAATGAATGAATGAATTACCATATTCGGATCTGGCCAGCTACCAATGACAAACTAGTAAAGAAGTGTGGACGGAAGTTTTGTGGAATAATTACTGTGCTATATTTCTCCCTTTATTTCCTTTTCCAAGTGGATGTCATACAAAGTCTCTTTTACTAGGTAGATCAGGCTAGGTGAAACTAATTTTAAATGTTTCTTTCTTTCAGAAATGAGTTCCTCCTCTACAGATATCTGTCTGAGACAAAAATTAGTAGATGGGAAGTGGGTTCCTCTGACTGAGGCAGAAAAACAGGAGAGGGAGGAGGTTCTTTGGTCCTGACCACCCTGGTTCATCATCTTTGGCTCAATCTGAAGTGGGCCAGGGTAACTTTTTTGGGGGGGGGGGGGTCTTCCCATTCAACATGAGGAAACTTCACCATTTACCAAATTTTACAATTTTGAACCAGGTTTTGCTGATCTCTTCTTATCTCTATTAATTACTGCTTCAGGGAATTTTGTAACAAGATTAACAGTGAGGCTCATTAGTTGTGAATAGTTCATAAGAAGACTAGCAAAATTAAATCAAAAACCATGTCAAACTTCTAACATAAGTCATTGATTTTTAAAATTCAAAAGCATATCAATTATGATTTTTATCTGAAATTATAGCTAAGGTAATAAAAATGCCAAATTATTTTGAACAACAGGTTTTTAAAATTTTCCAGCCTGGTTTTTAAATACTATACTGGTAATTTATTGAGAAACAGCAATGCCTGCTGTGATAATGACTCTTAAGTAGAGGTATTCTTCTTTGATGTTTAATTGGATTATTGAGATAAGATTCTGGCAAAACCTGGTTCACCAACCTGCCCGAATGCCCTTTTAAAGGGTTTGCTGGTAAATGGGATAGTAACAGCATGACACAGGGAGGAGGTGGATTGTCAGGTCACCCTGATCCGGCATCTTTGGCTCATATCTCTCCCTGGTCCTATGTCTTTGACTCATTCCTAAGCGGGCCAGGGTGAGCGCGCGGGGGGATCCTCCAACCGCTCCAGGGGTGCAATCCGTAAGTCTTATTGTTTGTACCCTGTTTGCATGGAACAGTGCGTCGCAAACATGAGGGTGCATTTTATAATGCGGCATATGCCCAATTGTTTTAAGCAGCAGGCACGGTGCACAACGCAACGTGCTAAAGTGCTACTTAAAGTACTGGAATGTGTCCCTAGGGATATTGTCGGGAAGACCGCCACTCCAGCTGACCTAGTCGCCAAACTGAATCAAGAGAGTGCGACTGGGAAGCTGGGAGAAACGTACATCATTGCGGTGAAAACCAGATGGTCAATACAAAAACTTTTCAGTGCTGAGTCGGTGGGTGAATTCTCTGTCTGCCCCATTAGCCACCCATCCGTCTTGATCCATTGAAAGTGCTACCTTGCCATCGTGAATGGTCTTGGTTGTGAGGTGGTTAACAAGATCGCGCGACGGGTGGAGGAGTCTGTCCCTATGCCACAACCTACACTTAAAAAAGGAAGGAACAGACTGCGTCGGGGACATCTCCTCCGGTTGGGAAGAAAGCCAAGTCATCGGAGTGGGGGCAGTCGGCACTTCGACCAACATCTACGCTGCGGCCTGGAGCACAGTTGGCACATCAACCAACACAACCGCCGCAGCCAACGAGCACCCAGGAGAACACCCAGGGCTCCCATTTTCATCTTGATCGCTTGTGGCGAAAATTGGGGTTAAGATCCAGCACTGGCCTTAGGGAGTGCAGAGGGTGGAGCACCTGCACTCAGATTCCCACCCGATTAAGGTGGTAGTAGGCCTACTAGTAGGGGGTATTGCAATTTATTGATCCCGAAACCTACCCCTCTTTTTTTAGTCTTTCCGAGAGATAGATATGTTCCCTTCGTGAGCAGGAGTACCACAGCTTTGGCTATTTACAATACTATCCATTTTTTGGATTTTCATAAAACGTAGCCAACACAAGAATTTTTTTATTTTTTTGGCCTAACGGCTTAAGACCTAGAAAGGCGCACTAATCTACTGATTACGACCAGGTGACTGTCTGTACTGAAGGAAAGGCCTACCTGTCACGAAGTTGACCAGTTTTGATACCTCGGGCTGTGCATTCGGCTTCCTGAACTGAAATGCCACCACATGATTTCACTGGATATATGCAAATTTCTCCAACTTTCCCTACTTCTATATATTCGAGTGGTTTCTTCTTGCGGCGCATATACCAAATTATACTTGCTGTAGTAAGCAAAGATGACGATATTGCAAATAATATTAGACCGAATTGTTGATTCGCCATTGTTTATCATAGGTTTGCAATATGGAAGGCCGAGTTCGCAAAACAAACCCTCTTATTATATTTTTAACTTGGTGATTCTCCTCTAACGCAATGCGCTCTCGTGCGGCGGTCGCAGATGCCCAGTCAAAACCCTACATGGCCAAGGGCGTCGATCCGTGGTTGAAAGTGGGGGGGGGGGAGCTCTGGCGCATAACCTTTCAATTGATTTTAAGCAATGCAATGCAACATTTATTTCCATTTTCAAAGTAGGCTATCCAGTGGCGGATTCAGTGATTTGAAACAGAGCTGGGCCCAGAGAGAGGGATTTTTACAGATGGAGAAAGTAGACCACCTCAGCCCCACCATAGTTGGTGCTAGGTAAGAAAATTTATGATTATGGCACTCTAGTTGGTCGGAAATGGCACTCTCAGACTGAATTTGAATATAATTTTCATTTTTTCCACTTTCCAATTTCGAAAAAAAAAATAGGGATGGTGTGCCGGCTGGGCCCATTGAATCTTCCACTGAAATACTCATCATAAAAAGTTTTTAAAATTATCCTTTTAGTCATAATTATGCCCGCTTATATATTTTGTGCAAACTAACATTCATAAAAATAATGATTTATTATCTACTGATTAGCTTATGACGTATTCAAAATTCGAACCATGAAAAACAAATAAGATAATCTTAAAACAGTCATTAATTTTAATAGTATTTTTGCATGTACAGTACAGTACTTTTAAAATCAATCAAGAGGTTTTTGAATTTCACTTTTGGGTAAGTAATATTGCGACTACACTATTGTGAGTCACAATGCCGTCTAATTTACGATCAAACGGGACTAGGGAGATAGGGAGCACACAAAATAATAGTTAGCATTTTGAATTCACAATAAAGGTGATTTACCAGGAAAGCAAGATAGAGGGGGGACAGGGAGGGACTTGCACAATTTTGGAAAGTAGATCACCTCAGCCCCACCATGGTTGGGGCTGAGGAAAGAAAATTTATGATTATGAGACCTCTAGATTGCCGGAAATGGCACTCTCAGACCTAAATTCTAATTATAATTTTCCTTTGTTTTTTCCATTTTTAAAAAATAATTTTGAAAAATTTAGGGTCGGCCGGCTCGGCCCCACTTGAACCCGCCACTGATTATTATGACGTCATTGCGAGACTGCGTCAACGTAACACTGGGCGTGTGTAAACTTTTGGAATCACTAAATCGAAATAGATAGACATGTCCATGTCAAAGGCTGTGATAATTATTGTTTAATAATGGCTATATAAAATTCAATTGACTAACTATAATTTTTTGAAATTATGAAAAACAGTAATCCTGTGTATGTAGAAAATATTAAACACTAGTAGGCCTATATACGTACGGGTCATAATAATATACAAAAGGAATAATCCTTTATAGTAGAAATTGTGCACTTTTGAGTTTGTAAAAATATTGGCCTAATAAGTATACACGCTTCCAATTTTAACAACGTTCAGTGTATTGTTTTCACAATAAATTTAGCCTCTGATAATAACCGCTGCACCCATGAAATCGATCTAGTGGTTTCTGAGATGGTTACGAAATGTATAAAAAATTGCGTTTTTACACTCGGTTTTGGTCCGGAAAATACGTACCGTACCGCACTTGGAAAAGTGAAATCACAAAATTCATGAGTCATGCGTAATTTTTATTCTTTCCATTCACTTTGAAAAGTATGGTTTTAATTATAGAAGATTGGTGAAAAGTGGGGGGGGGGACAATCGATATGATCCCCCCACCTACTTTGAAAAGTGGGGGGGGGACGTGTCCCCCTGTCCCCCACCGATCGACGCTCATGCACATGGTCCCGGCTCAATCGTTACGAGGCCACTGTTAGTAGACCCTTTTGAAATTGTAGGTCTAGATTCTTCCTCCCCGGATAATACGAGCTAAACTTTAGGTTTTTGCAAAATCAGTTTCATTGTAAAACATGTATTACAGTATAGGGTTCTATTTTCCCGCGTGAGATACAAATGTCGCGTATTGACAGACTATATTCTGTGGACGTGTTTACTGCTTGTGGATGTGTGTTCCATGTTGTCCTCGGATAGGCTATTAAGATACTGGAAATGTGGCCCTACTAACCAGGAAGTCATAATGCCTCAGACAAACGAGTACCCCTTCTGGCGGGTACTGCAAATGATATTACGACGATGTGAGTGCGTCAGGAAACATAGAAGATCGGAGTGATGTTTTGCCCTACTTTCCGTACTTTTGGGGGATCGGATTCAACACTAATCACCCACATGCCTTGAAATGTGTTTTCCCACAGCGTTGTTGTGAGTCCAATATTTAGAATTTTAATTTATATATACGACTCCTCCCTGACCCACCCATGCTTTTAAAAGCATATTCGGCACCTCTTTGTACGACGGTGACGTCAAAAATTAATTTAAAAGATTTTAAAAGAATTAAAGTAAAACGTGACTTAAAAAATGTCTCGTCCCACGTGAGTTGTAGGCCTATTATGTAGTACCAACAACGAATCTTCCACAAGAGACTGTTTATTTTGGTAGCTAGCTTTACTTTAATTAACAAAAATGGATTTACTTTACTTTACTTTATTGACATTCAATATTTACATCGGTGGAACTCAACTCAACCAGTAGTGCGTTTTAAAAAAGAATATGACAGACTGAGAAAGGTAACTTTCAATAGAATTGTACAATCTCTGTTTAAGTCCTGAATGTTTAACAAATTCATTAATGATTTTTTTTTACTACATAAAAAAACTTTGTAGCATAAATAATCCATAGATTTCGATTTGAAGCTAAACTAAATCATTATAATTTTCGAACAAAAAACTTCTGTCAAATAAATCGTTTTTATCAAATTTTATTTTAACAATGATGGACTCTGAAATACTGTAGAGGGCAGCAAGCAACATTATTTTTCTACGAAGTTTTTCAATGTACAGATTTACAACACGTAGGCCTAGTCCTAGTCACTAACTTTATTGTGCTAACTTTGGGCTAGCCTACATCATGTTAAAAACATTGTCCAACCAACATCTGAGTTTGATTTTAGCAATTTCATCAGCAGCTTTAACCAGTTTTGGTATCGTGTATTACTTTCAACGAAAACGCAAATCACCAAAAAGATTTATAGAGGTTGGCAGCGTGAGTGAAATTTTGATATATCCCGTGAAATCATGCAGGGGAATTTCCCTAGATTCTGCCATGTGTTCATTGCGTGGACTGAAATGGGGCCCTTTGCGAGACAGGTTTGCTATGTTACTGTACTTTTTTTGTGATTAAGTTTAATTATTTAAGTTTTTTATTTGTACTTTTTAAAGTTTCGAATCTGTGATTAACAATCAAGTATTTGAATTTACAGCAACAGTTGACCAAAAGGACAATTAAAAGTCCTCTAGGCCTATCCTAGTCCAGTTACTTAGGTTGCCTAACCTGGCTAAGCTTAGCCTAAGCTTGCTTGGTTTATTAGGCCTAGCCCTTGGTAGTAGCCTAGGGCCTTTACCTGGTCTGGAGTGGCCAATTTTGTGCAAGCAAATCTACACAGTTTGCAAATTACCATGTTGTGCCAACTGTGTCAAACAAATTTGCACAATTTGCAAAGCAAACAATGATTTCTTTGCAAACATGACTGGCCCAGATGCAACTAAGCCCTGTTCTTCCCAGTTGTCGTGCAATTAGAAATTCAAATACAGACATGCAAAACCTTAAAATATTAAATGTAGTTCAATCATTACTAGAAAACAACTTCAGTAATTAAACAACATAAAATCATAACAATGAATCAATAACAATTAAAATTTTTATTCATATAATAAATACATTACAAAAATATAAGAATTCCATGAAATAAAAGGAGACAATTAAAATAACTCCAAAGGATTGCACAGACAGAATATAAAACACAAATAAACATTTAAAACAGTTAATAAAAATTAAATCACTTTTATTCATATCATAAATACATTACAAAAATATAAAAATTCCATGAAATAAAAGGAGAAAATTAAAATAACTCGTCTAAAGGATTGCACAGACAGAATATAAAACACAACAAATTAAAACGTTCAAAACAGTACAGAAATAATAACACTAGGCTTATATAAACAGCCTGAGCCAATTCTTGTAAGAAGGACAATCTCCATCACATCCCCCCGTCGCAGATAGTAGATGTTCTCAACTTGTTACTTTACATACCGGTATGTAACCACTGTCAGTTCTTGAGTTTCTCGTCAAATATGGTGTTTGTGCCTTAGAAAAAACAGTTGTACGACATATAAAAAAAAAATTTCCTTCGGAGCGTGGCTTTAAGAAATGCATGTTTGAATCAGTGTTTGCAAGTCCATGGCAGTAATGGTTCTACATGGACTCTACACCACTTAAAGTTGATGACCTTGGTATCTTTTATAATTTGTAATGCACACAGAAAACTTATGAAAAGACATACCGTATTTATTAAAATAAATACCTCGGGGTGTTTATTGTTGAAAAGTGTTTTGAATGGACGTTTATTCGAGGGAGGTGTATACTACATACTACATGGACTCTACACCACTTAAAGTTGATGATGACCTTAGTATCTTTTATAATTTGTAATGCATACAGAAAACTTATGAAAAGACATACCGTATTTATTAAAATAAATACCCCGGGGTGTTTATTGTTGAAAAGGGTTTTGAAGGGAAGTTTATTCGAGGGAGGTGTATAGTCGAGGGAGGCCTTTATGTTTTTTGGGTGTAAAATGGAATGTATGCTCGAATAGACACCCCTTAATTTGACTGTAAATACAACACATAATTACAGTACTGCCAAAATAAAATGTGCTATTGCATGATCATAAAGACTTATTGATCCTAACCAGGTTAGAATAAATATACCAGTAACTCTATTGAGTAGAACATTAATAGATGTTTTGAGACTGATGTTGCTTGCCATTAGTTTTGTTTACTGGGGGGAGGGGGTGTGGAGGGAGGGTTATTCGAGAAAAAAGTAAATGCTGGGGAAGGCTTTTATTCCAAATGAGGCTCTGGAGGGGGAATTTGATTGAAGGGATTGTTTAGTCATAGAGGGGCGTTTATTTAAATAAATATGGTAATTGTGTAAAATCATGGAATCTGTGACTGTAATAAATTGCATTCATAAACAATATTGATATGATTTTGAACTTAAAAAGAATTTTTTAAATAATACTTTGGGCTTAATCCTGTATTGATAAGCTTTTGATATTATTTTTGTATTTCTCTTCCTCATACTAGGGGTATTTTCCGACTAAATATGAACTTTGGAGTTCTGTGGAGATCAACTGGCCTATCCGTATGGCACAATGCCTTTGTGTTGTTTGTACATCATGTGGGTGTATAAGATAATAAAAAAGATAAATGTATTATCAGTAGTATTGGTATTGTACAGGTTCATGTGGTAAATCAACAGATTTCTAAATCAGCACGATATTTAAAAATATAAAAATTAACCTGTAGCCAGGTTCATACTGCATTTTGATCAAATTTTCCAAAAACGTTGTTTTATTTTCCTGCATTTTTCCAATAATGAGTGCATTCATTATGGGTTGATAAACAAATACATTTTTAATTCCATTTTCTGGGGTGTTTTTGTCATTAATTTTCTCAATGTCAAAATTACAAACTATAAAAATCAATCAAAGAGTGCCATTTTTGACCATCTAGAGGGGCCAAAAATTTGTAATTCAATTTGCATTTGCAATGCACCACATGTGATATTGATATTTTGAGCGGCTTACCTTGGTATGCAAATGGTCGAGATCCAGGGTCCTAGAACCACCGCTAAGGGTACAGTAGGTTGACAATGGGCCCAACATTGTGACTGCCTTCAGTATTTGATTTGAGAACAAGAAACAATCCTAAAAAAAAAGCTTTTCATTTTTCACTGTTGGCTGTGTTACTCACTGATAAGCATATACGCCATACTGTCAAAAATGTTTCACTCGCTCCATTTTTCTCCCATTCTTCTCCCATTTTACATTAATAGTTTCTTCTCAAATGATTTCTTAGTAACTAGTATTTTGTGTTTATTTCTTCACAATAGAAAATGGATGATGATAAATGAAAAAGACAGATTCGTGTCTGCAAGGCAAGAGCCAAAAATGGCGTTAATTGTTCCTAGTCTATCAGATGACAACCAAGAACTGATCCTAAGCACCGAAGGTATAGAACCCATTAAGATACCTGCTAATGCTAATGTCAGTCAAAGACTGATATGTACTACGTAAGATATGAAGTTTTTTTTTTATTATGAAAATATTCTGATATTCAAATTACAAATCATTTTCTTAATTGCTCTATGAAATCACCTATCCATGAAATTGGCAAATGCAGCGGTGGCGAAAGGGGCGCTCTCCCCTGTCAGCAGCCAGAAAAAAATGTTTGATCAAGTATAAAATCATTTAGATAAAGCAGGACACTGACTGTGCCCGGTGGTCGTCTGCCAATGTGATTCTACTGAGAACGCAACACAACCACAATCGTGCAACGGATCCTTTTTAATGATGATCTGTTCAGACTTCCACCGACAATGCAAACAGCACTGCGTCATCACACTCCAAAAATACTCGCTCAAGTAGTAAATACCACCTCAAGTCACCTTATTTTGTGAGCTAGCTCCCCTTGCCTAATCATCAAGCCACCCAACTTTACCTTTGCACACCCCCACCCCCATTTCAAGACTCCTGTATGCCACAGCTCCTCAAGATGAATGAAGGTGTCTCTAAAATATGTCATGGTATTGTGTTTTTTTGGTACTGTACATAGTATATGGAACACGGATATTTGTGGTTATGAGTGTGGTAAGGTTGCTGAAGAATGGCTTTCAAAAATCTTCCGCTATCAAGGCTACAAGTTAGTAGTTCATGAAGACAGCCTTGAAGGTCGCAAATTGGCCGATGACCCCAAGTGGAAACCAAAATCCTTGTACAAAGATGAGGTGAATAATTGTTGATATTCAATATTAATCCAATCAGTTTAAATCATTTTGACTCTCCTAGATAAACACAGCTTTGGTGAGTGTATGGTCAACGGCTGTGACTAGTATAACGCATAACATTCGTCTCTATGCGCTTTACAGGACAACAGAAAAGAATAAAAACCAGAATAAATGGTTGAAATGGAAAAGAAATTGGTAGAAAAAAAAAACAACACAAAAAGGAAAGTGGAAAGCAAGTAAAACAGGAGAGTGGAGGAAAAATTTGAGATTGTCAAATAAGAATGATTTAAGATGGCGCTTTAAAGATGATCAAATTTAATAGTCTCTTAAACAGATAGTGGTAGAATTCCAGAGCTTGGAGCCAACAACTGAAAAGGCCCTTCCCCCATATATCTTCAGATGACAAGTAATTATTTTTATATTATGATATAGATTCAAAATAAAAAACAAAGTAGGCACTACATAAAGGGTTGTAGATGTAGTGAACTGTATTAATGTCCTTTTACATTTAGCTGAACGGAGTGTGATGAGTTCTAAGGAGATGTAATGAGGAGTGAAAGGGTGCAAGGACTTAATGTATGCATTTGTTTGTCTTCTTTATAATAACATTCACATTATAATTACAATTATAACTATACCTACGTCTGTTTGTAAAACAGAACATAGGGCTTTTCCTCATTGCCATAATGAGAACTGATGTTGAAATTATAAAGTCTAAAAAGAAAATTATGAGAATAAAAATACATGAAAAAACAAAAAATTAATCCTAAAAAAGCAGATTATGAAGTAAAAAAAATCATGGAAACAAACGTAACATCAGTGAGACTTGAACTAGGGCTGCAATGGTAATAGGGAGGGGGATAAGGAGAATTCAACCAGTGCGCCATAGATCCTGAGGCTGCAGACATCAGTGCATTATTAATGTATCTACCTTGCACAATGTTGTAACTTGACTCGAGGATGAAAATTGAACATGCATTTCACGGTAATTTTGTGTATAACCTAGCTGCAGAAAACACAAATTGCGTTCACATCAAAGTTTAATTACTTGTTTATTAGCCTCCCCGGTTTTTCTTCATGTCGTTGTCAGTTGTATATTGTTTGTTACCACAATAAATAAAGTTGATTAAATCTGATTGGTTTCAAGCTTCGCAGAATGGAAGATGACATTAAGAAGACGGAGAATATTGTTTTTGGTGATTGTGCTAATTAGTCATTTACATAAATTAATTGGTTGTTGAACTAATTGTTGTGATCTTTTGTTTCTAGTCTCTGTATTCAGATTTAACGCAGTATTTGGTAATAAGTGAATCATCGCTTGATGACTTAAATAAAAGGTTAGATGAACCAGTAACCATGAAGAACTTCAGACCAAACATTGTCGTCAAGGGGTGCAAGGCATTTGCTGAGGTAGGCCAACAACATGGAATGGGATTGTGCCCTAATAATCAACATTTTAGTGATGCCCCAAAATTTAATAGGTTATGCAAGCAACAACTTACTTGGAATGATCATATTAACCAAGTGTCTTCTAGTGTTTCAATATATTAATATTTTAAGTTCCCTTGATTGGACAAAACTTAATGTAAGATGGAATGAACAGTTAACTCTTGAATTTTAAATGTTTAAAAGGGCATGCCCCTCCATACCTAACATCCAAATTTATTTCTAATCACGATATATATTGAAAATGCACACGTAGCCAAACGCATAATGATTTAATTGTACAAGTACCACCTTTGAATATCTGCCAAGTTAAAAGAACTTTCTTATATCGTGCATCAAAAAGTTGGAATGAACTCCTAAACGAAACAAAAACTAACTTTAAAGAAATAACCTTAGTTTCATTCCAACATTCTATTAATTATAAGTTTTACATTAATAATAATAATAATAAAAACTTTATTTAACTACGGAAATACTTATATCTTCTTTCTATTTCATGGTTTGTTTGTAACTGTACTACTTTGAAAAACAGTACTCAAGTACTGAAAGTGCATGCAGTCTAAAGAAAGAATAAATAAATTTAAAAAAAATAGAAAAGAATTTTCTGAATGGAATAAATATGTCTGGTTTCTGTAGATGTTCCTGATGGAATTTCAGTCAATTAAATATAATCAAGGGATCAATGAAGTTGTTATTTTATCATAAAGTATAAATTTAAAGGTATTCACATATTTGTACCCACCATGTAGCTTGATAAGTATTTAAAAACACAGTTTACTTTTACAATTCATTCATAGTAATGCATTGATTTCCAAAAGACAGCATTACACCATTATTCAATTTTATATTACAGTATTATTGTGGGCACAAATCAACACTCCACAGCATAGAATGGAATATAGACTTTTAGCCATTGCCTACATACAATTCTTTAATATTCTCAATAACTAGGAAAAAGTTTGAATTTGTTAAGAGCATGTAGTTGTTGCCATGAAATGTGTATAGTATCAACAGTACGCCTACATTTGTTGCTTGTTTGTTTTTCAGTTTTTATTTTAATTTTTACAGGACAATTGGACGGAGATCAAGATTGGTGGTGCCCATCTGTACAGGACTCATTTATGTGGAAGGTACGGCATATTAATAAGTATGGCATTTTTCTAAACAGTGTAGCATAGCATTTATCCATGGGGATAGTGACTTTCAGTTAATTCATTTCCTTCCACTTGAACAGTGGCAGATCCAGGAATTTGAAATAGATGGGGGCCCAGGGAGAGACTTTTTTAGACTGAGGGTCTAGAAAATTTATGATTTTGGCACCCCTACATGGCTGGAAATTGCACTCTTAGATCTAAATTTAATCATAAATTTGTTATATTTGTTGCAAAGATAACGATAAAAGCTAAAAAGCAATTGTTCATATAGATAATAAAAGAAATAGAAGTTTTTACACTGGGACGATTCGATAACAAATTATCGTGTATACGATAACAAAATATTTTGACAAATGAATTCAAATTATGCCATCATAGAAAAACGATAAAATTGTTACTACTATGATTTTATCATTTTTCCATGATTATGACAGCATTTGAATTGATTTGTCAAAATATTTTGTTACTGAATACACGATAAATCGTTATCAAATCGTCCTAGTGTATTAACTTGTCTTATTTCTTTTATTTTCTCAATGAACAATTGCTTTTAGCTTTTTATCGTTATCATTATCGTTGCAAGTATAAACAGACCTTCAGGCTTTATCATTTTCTTTTCTGAACAACATATTTTATCATTCACATTGCATTTATATGTATGAACTTTGTTGACCTCACCGGAAAAAGTAACAATTTGTCCATCATTCTCTGCACATTTTACCACATGTTTTGACCATCAGTTTTTGTTTTTGTGAATATATAACCCTTTATTATGTAATGTAATGTAAGTGTACTATATAAAATCTTCATCAATAAATGTATGCATTAGTCAAATTATAATTTATTCTATGAACAGGTGTCGAATGACGTTGGTAAATCCGGAGACTGGTGTGATGGCGCATGCTGAACCACTGAAGACACTGCGAGAGTAAGTATAGTTTGTCAAATAAAAACATGATTTAAATTCATGTGCTTCTATGCAGAATTGTGTCACTGATTTTAAAAGTATTGGCTAAATATAGAGAAGTTCTTTAGACTTCAGTAAGTATTCTAGAGGTTCTGGAGAGGCTGATTATCAAGCAAGCTTCCACATGTGTTTTGTATTTATTTCGTATCCAACAGCAAGTAACAAACGTATTACAGGATGGATGATGCTTTATAAACCAAGTCTCCCTCAAGCCGGTTTTACACTAGGCGAATTTATTTGCACGAATCAAAAGCATCGGTTCGCTTCCTGAGCTGATTGGTTTCACATTTTTTCACTTTGCAAAAAGTAGAAACATTTCTAACTACTGATTTCGCTGTAGCAAAAAATTCCGATAGAAATGTAAATGTGCATGCGCATGAACCGACGCTTTCAATTCACATGCATAAATTTGCATAGTGTAAAACCAGCTTAAGATGCTTAAAGGGGAGGGAAGTTGTTTTTATTTGTGAGAAAATGTCCTACTGTCACAGGAATTGAACTCGGTGTTTTGTCACTGGAAATGGAAGCGTCACTAAGGGTCACAGCAGATTGATACCTACCATTCATTAATTTAATAACTGAGCTATGCAAATTGTTTATTGGAATAGGCCCATAACCAGGTTCATGTGTGGGGGGGGGGTTCCCTATAGGCTATTTTTAACTCAGAAGTGCTTCTTTAATAGAAAAAGGTTGTGATAAAACACTACTACAGTAGTGAAAAGGGGGTTTTGCCTGAACCCCCAAATTCCTCCTGGTTGCAAACCTGGCCATTCTTTAATCTACTGTAATTTTTGTTAATGCTTGTATAACAGCTGCAGAAGATTCTCAACCACCGTGTTGGCTGAGGGCTGGGTGAGGCTTAGTGCGGTATGTGAACCTCAGCTCTAATAATATAGTAATAATTGTCAACTTATCTAGCGCATATTGTAGACTAACCTCTATGCACTTTACATTATTACCCCCGATCACTGGATCAAGCACATGGAATAATAATTAACACTCATGCCCAATAATGTTGCAGCTGTAATCAGCGCATATTTGTGTTTGAACCTACCAAGTACCCACTTGTACTCTTGGGTGGAGAGAAACAACTGTAAATAAAGTGCCTTGAATAAGGACACAAGTGACTTGCACAGCGAGAGTTTCGAACCCCCAACGTCAAGGTTGGGAGTCCAAGCCACAATCGATGCGCCAACCACTTCTACTTCTAGTGGGGTTTTTTTACGTTTTTTTGTCTTATTTTGATGGGGTTTTTGACATGTTTTACTCTGAAGACCTCACTTAGGTAATTTTGGGCCTATTGAATTATATATTTTTTTGTGTGAACACCACAGATGACCCACAAAATCTGAAGGCTTTTTCCAATGGGGTCCTGGTAGTGATTGGTTAGTACACCAGGTGACATTCCCCTACTCTTTCCAAAGAGTGTACTGCATTCATGGGCCACATTGCACACGTTACCAAGGACTTAAACCTCTTATCCGAAGGAGGTGTACTATTGAAACTCGCATTTCGGGAGAGCAAGATGGGAGTTAAACCTGGGACCAAGATATCTCTACGGTTCAGTGCACAAACAGTGGCGACCACCGGTTTAGCTGATGAGCTATGCTGCTCTAAATGTTTCTGGCAAAAATATGCCAACTACCATTCTGGGGTCCCCTAATGTCCAGTGCCCCTACATTTTTGCCAGTGATAGCTCATTAGATATACACTAGTGGAGAATGCTATCAATTACAGATGCTTCAGTAAGATATTTCTCTTTTGATGATGAATTTAATATTTCTTTGTCGTAGGTATAGAATGGTTGATAAATCTCATCCAGACTCCAAAGCATTTGGTGTGCACCCTGTATTCGGCTCAAATTTCAACATGGTTGAAGTTGGAAATATCAGAGTTGGAGACAAGGTTTATGCAGTTATTGAGTAGTAGCAAACATCAGTCATCTTTATGAAAGCATCACTGATGGACTTAAAACTGCTCTAAGGAAATTGTTTCTATCGACATCAAACATTGTGATATGTTAATCATTTTAAATTATTTTTTTAAGTGTGATATGTTAATCATTATTGGGATACTGTATGTTACTCCACATTCATGTAGGTAAGGATCACACTAGAGCCCTAGTATCTGGATCAGGAGCTAGCCATTAGCACTAACGGTTAGCACCCATGTGAGAACGCCCGATCGGTTTGCGAGCGCCGTCGATTAGCAAGTTGAGCACATTTTTATAATTAACCAAGCACACGTACACATTTCTAATTTCCGGTTTTCTATTGGCCAGTAATCCCATCATCATCATCTTGATATTTGGATCTGGGAGTTTCTTGTATGAATGCAAGGGTGAGCACGCATGTTATTAATATGGATCCTGCTAAGTGTTTGAACATAGCCATAAGTAATAATAAAATAAAGGTGTATGGCTCTATTTTTTGTGTTTTACTTGCAATGGATAAGGGAATTTAACTATAGACTTCTTAATACATATGTTTCAGGTTAACATGCATCCATTAGTGGTTACTACCTCAAATAGTTTTTGTAGTTTTGGTATCATTATCCTTTTTTGGGGACATTTTATTAAACATTCTGTTTGGTTTATAAACCAATTCATTTTTTAAGAATCCATTTTGCTGTGTGTGAGTGAGGGGACCATATTTTTAATAATATATGCTTAACTGTGATTGACATTTAGCTTTTTGTACAACTTTTTAATTTAATATTAGTATCACAGTCAAATAAAATAATTAATGAAATGCTGCAATTTAAATATAAACAGTGGAATAGTTCCAAGTTGCAGGGACCCGGCCAGAGTGAATACGTTCCATATAACATTTCATTTTGAAGTAAAGCCTTGGTTGGTTAAATTATGTATACATTTTATGACAACATTTAGCTGTACAGGTAGGCCTACTGTATATGTATATATACCATGAGCCGACATTCAGGTGGTTTAGGGAGGTTGTAGGACGCAGCTGAGACATTGGGTTGTCGCGACACTGTAGGTAGTAGCCATTTTGTATGCTGAAATTCAATTCATGATTTTAGCTGTGAAGGTAAACAGGTTTTTAAAAATGCAATGTGCAAACAATTCAGAGTACCAGTTGTAATTTGATAAATTTTAAATTACAGTGCATGACAACATATTTTGAACATTATTCAGTATGTAAATGATAATTATGAGAGAATTTATTAAATATATAAATTAACATGTTTATGATAAAAGCTTTGAAAATTGCTGACATGAGCTTTGTTATTTCTTTCATTCTTTATTAATATTTGTCTTTATTTCTTTCGTTCTTTATTAATATTTATCCAAGATGTCCCACTCAGTATCACTGATTTTCAAGGAAGTCCTCTTACATAGAAACGTGGAAAAACCAATTAACTCTATTCAAGACTCCAGAACATGCTGCCCGAGTATATGATACGTGGAAGTACCAGGGACGTAGCCAGGATTTTGAAAGGGGGGAGCCGTTATGCGAGATACGTATGACCCCGGCGGGGTCTAGGGGGACGAACACCCCCCCCCCCCACTGTGAAGTAGCGCACTCTGAACGTTTTAAGGACTGTTTAGAGAGGATAAAGTGAAAATTGTATTAGACACATCATAAATAATATTAGTAGGCCCAGCAATAATTATAGTAAATCAACAGAATCCATGAATTCGAAAGAGAGGTGTCCCAGGGAGGGAATTTCACAGACTGAGGAACCACCCACCTCAGCCCCCCCACCATGGTTGGGGCTGAGGTAAGAAAATTTATGATTAGGGCACTTTTAGATGGCCGGAAATTACACTTTCATACTTAAATTTGAATATATTTTCCTTTTTTTTTTCCTCAAAAAAAAAAAATTCTTATCTAAAATAGTCATAATCACGAAAAAGGGGCATGAAAAACCAGATCACATTCTAAAAACAAATTTATGCCCCCTCTCTTCACTGCCTCAGCAGTCACAAGACACACTCTGAGTCAGGTGCCGACTCGATGCAGTTTAATGTCACACCCAGAAGGGCGCAGATCTGTTTTGTAAGGTTGAGGGGGAGGACATTTTGTGAGTCGGCACCTACCTCAGACTCACCATGGTTGGAGCTGGGGAGCGAAAATGTGAGGAAATAGTACCTCTAGATGGCCAGAAACAAACCTTTTAGTAAAATTTATTATCATCACATGACCGTTACCGGTAGTCCAAATGAAGCGCCAAAAATAAAATCTCATGGTCTTTTTCATAAAGGCTTTTCTGCAACCAAAAAGATCTTATTAATATGTGTGATATATTAGAAAACAAAGCTTAAAAACATTGTCTTTGAGTGTGTTCTTTACATACTTCAAAACCGTGATTTCACAACCACCTCATCCCCACCATGGTTGGGGCCTAGGTGAGAAAATTTGAGGAAATAGTACCTCTAGATGGCCGGAAATCACACTTTCACGTAGTAAAATTCATTATCATCACATCACCATTACATAGTCAAAATGAAACGCCAACAAATTTCTCATGTACTTTATCAGAGATCTACTTGATATCCAAGACAACTTGACCTAACTATAATTTAATATATAAGCTTCTAACTATCATCAACAAATCACAACTTTATTTTTCGCCTTTAGCACAATTTCCTTCACATATTAATATTAATATTACTATCAATTATCATCATCATCATCACCATTATTATTATTATTACAGTCGAGTTCGCATAAGTCGAATCTAATGGGACTGGCATAAAAAGTTCGAGTTATACAGATTTCGACTTGCACATTTTCGAAAAAAAAAAAATTAACATACAACAATACTATGTGTACTCAATGCCCACAAAATCGAATTTCACGCAAAACCGAACATTTTCTTAAGTCCCAAAATCATTCCTATTCTTCTTTTAATAAAATACTTTCCGAAAACATTAAACTCCCTATTCCAAATCTCGGACGATTTGTCCAATTCATACGATGGCCCACAAGGGACACACTGCAAAGAAAAAGAAATGCTGAAAACAAAAAAGAAATGCTGCAAACAAAAAAGAAACGCTGCAAACAAAAAATAAAACACTACCAAACAAATAAAGAAACGCTGCAAACAAAATAAAAACACTAGCAAACAAATAAAGAAACGCTGCAAGCAAAGAATAAAAACACCAGCAAACAAAAGAAAAAGCTGCAAGCAAAAAAGGAAATGCTGCACAGTTAACCTATGCAAGTTTTCGTTTTGGGGCTTAGGGATTGAAAGGGAATATTCTAGTTTTGATGACATTCAGGCAAGGGCTGAGGCTAGAGAAAAATGTTGTGCCTCCCACCATGAAATGTTAATATGATGCATCCAGCACCTAATTTTGTCTGAATGCTATATATAGCTCAACAATGGTGGTCTGGAGGGAGACACCTTTTTTTCCCCATTTTCAATTATCCCAGTGAAATGTACAATTCCCCAGTGCATTATAGCCAACAGTGGTTGTATGGGTACATGCAAAGTATGTTTTTAAAACTGATACAGTATTGTGTTCGTTTTTACCCTTCCAGACTCGATACATTCCAGTTGAAGGGGTGTCAAGTTCCCGCAAACGGACAAGAATCTCCCAGAAAATAATCCAGCTCCCACGAATTTATTAAATTTGCATGTTTTTAACTACTGTATTACCCCTTTATTATCATTTTTCTCACAGAAGTCCGTCAAGAAGGCATTCCCATAAGCAGCAAAACAAGTTAGATCTGCTAAGACAGCTTGTTTAAACAACAACTTCCTGTCTCTTATACACATCTAGATGTGTATAAGAGACAGTGCTAGAACGGATTCACTCGTGTGTGACCGTCTACCATCCTCTACCAAATTACGTCAAAGAATCCATGTGACAATGAAAATTTAACGTTCTTGTATGCGCAAATGACTTAACCCTCTGGATACCGGATTCTTTTGTAGTGCAAACCCATGAATACCGGATTCTTTTGCAGTGCAAGAAGGTTTTTTGCGTTTTTTGAGTATACATCATTCTGGTAGATTTTTGGGAACTTTCTGTAAATTATACAGAAAAATGTTTCTAAAAACAAAGAAAGCTTATAGAATAAGCTTTCATTTGATGTATAATTATATTTTTAGGTTTTTTTTTTCATAATATAATATAATATATATAATATAATAGAAATGACAGAAAAATGCTACATATAAA